AGTCAAGCCGGGGGAGCCAGACAACATCTGTGCCCGCGGGGCGCTAGGATCACAGGACTCGGCGGCCGGGGTTCCCGGGGTTTCCCAGGGACCCACACACGGCGTGTAATTAACTCCGCGGCGCGCAGCGCACGGCGTTCCCATCTCGCAGGCAGAGTTGTGTGGGGACTTGCCCACGGTTTGTGTCCGCAGTGGGCGTGTGTATTCCTCTCCCGGGGAAAACGGGGCACAAAAAAGGCCCCTCGCAGGCGTGGGGGCCGGCGCAGGCCTGGTGCACCCTCCCGTCTCACAGCGGGGCTCCACCTCCGCCCCCCACCCGCCTGGGAAGCACATGTGGCCGGCACCCCCACAGGTGGGGCAGGGGCTGAGTCCACAGCCCGGGGCCTGGGCCGCCTCTCTCAGGGCGAGTCCTCGGCCTCTCCCCTGCGCCTCCCCTGCCGGCCAGATGTGGCCTGGCCCTGATCCAGGCCCCGTGAGCCTTTGGGGTCAGCGAGCCCCAGGCCCCGCCCCTGCCCTGGGCCTGCCGCCTTCTCCTTCCTCCCCTCCCCCCAGGGCTGGCCAAGCCCCCAGTCCGTCCCCCAGGATTCCGGGCAAGAACAAAAGGCCACTGAACCAGCAGGATCTAAGGCCCAGCGCAGCGCCTGCATCTCCCCGCACCGACTCAAGGCTGCCCTCTAGTGCTGCTGAGGAGGACGTGCAACCCGGGGAAAGGTCCCCTCCGGCCCCCCTCAGCCCGCCGAACCCCGGTGTCCAGGACACGAGCCAAGGGCGACAATGTTGTTGCTGTTACTCCTCCCCCGAGGATATTTCCCACTGATTTTTTTAGAGAGAACGGAAGGGCGGGGGAGAGACAGAGAGACAGCCATGTGAGAGACGCATGGGTGGGCTGCCTCCCCACCACGGCCCAGGCTGGGAATCAAACCTGCAACCGAGGCATGTGCCCTTGACCAGAATCGAACCCGGGACCCTTCAGTCCTCGGGACGAGGCTCTATCCACTGAGCAACACCGGCCAGGGCGAGGACACATTGTAAACAAACAGGGTGGCTCTTTAAAGCAGGGGAATCGGGAAGCCTTTGTTCTAGAACAATAAGCGGCTTAAGGCGTTTCTGTGGAGGCACCTTGGGCGTAAGGAGAGGCCTACCCACCCCTGGCTACTTCCCGGTCCCCAGTGTTTAGGAGGGACAGGGAGAGGGGGAGAGAAACATCCGTGATGAGGGAGAGTCATGGATCGGCTGCCTCCTGCCCGGCCCCCCTGGGGACCAAGCCCACAACCCGGGCACGTGCCCTGACCGGAAACCCCGGGCATGCTTCCCGGGGAGGCTCCCAGCCCCTCGCCGCACCTGCTGTAGCCACCGTGCCGTGCAGGGCCCCGTGGTGGGGGCGGGCCTACCTTGCTCCCTTTGCTGGTCCCGCTGCTCCATGGACACCAGGGCGGAGAAGTGCGCCTGGTCGTAGGCGAGGACCAGGGGGGAGCAGTGGCAGCGGTTGGGAGGCACCTCCAGGGGCAGGTAAATCCCTCCGAACGGGATCGGGGCGAAGGCTGTGGACACAGACGAGGGCAGGGCGTGGGGAGCCCGCAGGGACAGCGTGGAAGGCACCCTCACCCCAGGGGCGACGGGACCCCGGTTCCTCCAAGGCTTTCCTGAAGGGGCTTCAGTTTTCATACGTTTTTTTTAAAAAATTGACCTCAGAGAGAGGAAGGGAGAGGGGGAGGGCGAGAGAAACATCCATGATGAGAGAGAATCATGGATCGGCTGCCTCCTGCACGCCCCGTACTGGGGATGGAGCCCTGACCGGGAACCGAACCATGACCTCCTGGTTCATAGGACGCAGCTCAACCATTGAGCCACACCTGCCGGTTTGCAGGCTTCCAAGTTCTTCCAGTAAAACCCGCCTCCTCCAGGAGGTCCCCTTTGGTTTCTCTAGGTCACCGCTGCTCACCCCACCCCGCAGTCCTGCTTTGTGACGTGGGGACCCACCTTCCCCGCCCGAGTCCCTCAGCATCGTGTCGGCCACGACCACGATGGGCCTCCTCAGGATGTGGGCCAGGACGAACACGTGGAACTCCTCCAGGCTCTCGTACACGGGGTCCTCGGCGTTGTCCACACTGCAGGACAGAGCAAGGCCAGCTGTCACCGCGCCGATGGGAAGGGGGTGTGTTGGAGACCGGATGCCTCCCTCCGATCGGACCTCCATGGACCCTGGCCAGCGCGCCACTGAGTCCATCTTCTTCCCACGCTCCCAACTGATGACAGACGCACAAGTCCCGGCCCCCCACCCCTCCATGCCCGGAGGTCTTCCTGGTGGCAGAGGCAGCCGCTCAGAGCTCGTGGGAACACAGGGGCGGCCTCTGGGGGGTTAAGGGGACACAGCAGGGGCAGGGGCAGGGGCAGGAGAGAGGCTGGCTTCCTGGCCTCCCTCTGCTTCTAGCTCTTGGGCTCAGTCCTCCCCGGCGTGGCTGACCGGCCGCTGGGGCCATGGCTACCGAGGTCTGGGGGGCTTTCTTTTCTTTTCTTTTTTTAAAAATTTTTTTATTATGTCAGAGGGGAAGGGAGAGGGAAAGAGAGAAACATCAATGATGAGAGAGAATCATGGATCGGCTGCCTCCTGCACACCCCCTACTGGGAATTGAGTCCACAACCTGGGCATGTGCCCTTGACTGGGAATCGAACCTGGGACCCTTCAGTCTGCAGGCCGACGCTCTATCCACTGAGCAACACCAGCCAGGGCTGAGGGGCTTTCTCAGAAATACCCCCATGGACGAGGGCGGTGAGAAGGCTGCCTGGACTCGGCCCGCAGTGTAGGAGGGGGAAGTGACAATCCTGTCACGGCTCCCACCCCCACCCCCCCACCCCCCGCTTGGGGCAGAGCGGGCTCTGAGACCTTCATCCCCGAGTGGAATCTAGTCTGGAGGCGGGAGTGTCTGTGCCCCCGATCTTGGGGTGCCACGCGCTCCCTGGTTCCGCTCCCCCCGCCGCCCTGGCCTGCGGAGAGAGGGGGAGCGGGGG